TAAAGAATTCTAAGCCTAGATCGGTAGCTTAGGTAAAATCCCTATATATTAGCGTAATATCCCGTAGCTATAGAAATCGACGATTACGACCCTTCGCAAGATAAACTCGGCAAGTTTAGCGTAGATAAGGGTACCTATACTATCCTCGGAGATTAACATTTTTAGCTAGCCGAAGCCTACCTTTCACTATTCTATTAGCGCACTAGAACTTTCTTCTTAACTTGTTTCTACTTAGTTACTCCCTAGCCATCTTCCTTTATACGCTATATACTTTATACTTAACTAATAACCTAGTAGGACTCGAACGTAACACTAAGCGTAACCTTACCTAAATAGCGAGACGATATTTGCCCTTCGATCTCGGTATCTAAAGCGAAATTCGGCGTCTACTACGGTCTTAGGCATTTAGATTTTAATTTTTAAACCTCTAGATTCGTCCTTAAAATAAGTATAGTACCTAGCGTATAGCTGTTATATAAGATTATAATTAACCGTCGCTATAGGCCGTAAGTTAGCCTATACAATATTAGGCGCCTCTACTTATATCGAGCAAAGAAGACATTTACAGGCCTCTACTAAGGAAGTATATCTCTTATAGATATACTATCGCTAGGTTTCTTAGTATTAAATCTAAGCATTTATCGTATACCGCTATTATAGTAAGATTAATAGGAGATATAGCGTTATAGGCCTTAAGAGACGGATTCTAAATTATTAGCCGCTAGATTTAGGACGAGATCTTATAAATATTAGCAATAATCGATAGTAGTATTTCGTAGAATTACCCTATATCTATAGTAGATCCGTCTATAATAGATCGATATTAATACTCTTCTATATTAGTATAAAAGATATTTCTAACTTAGCTTGCCTAGTCTCTATAAATAAGGCAGGCATTCTTAAGCTCTATATCGTAAGCCTTAAGCTAAGCTAGTACTACTGTTTTTCTCTAATAAGTGCAGTATATATATACTTAACGGCATTAGTATTCTAATAGCGCTACCTTATAAGATTAATACCCTATATTATAAAGTATTACTCTTTAAGGCTATTAGCTTGAATCTTTAAGTAAGCGGTAGCAATTCCCCGAGGCCTAGCGCTATTTTAACGTTTTTATATTTTATACGATAAGCGGCGATCCTACGCTACCGCCTATATACTTCTAGATATTATAATTCTCTGCCTAGTAAAATGTTTATAAGCAGTAATCTAGCGACGTAGGCATGCCTCTAGATATTGTTATTCCCGACTTATTTAGCTATTTATATCGAGTACGATAGCTATTAGTATACTTCCGGATATTGTAAGTCTTGCCTTAGTAGGCTATTTATAAGCTATAAACTAGCGCCGTAAGTATGCTTCTAGATATTATACTCCTTTAGGCTATAAGATATCTATATTATATATAATAGTAGCCGCTATCGGTATATCTATAGGCTATCTTAGTTCTATCGTTAGGTATAATTTTTATATTAGTAAGCTTATTCCTTTTGTATACTCTAGCCGTTAGTATAGTTCGGGGCATTATAATGTTAGCTTAGTAAGCTTTTTATATTATATACTATAGCAGTTACTATACTACTAGATATTGTAATTCTTAGGCTAGTAAATCGTCTATATTATATACGATAGCGGAGGCTATTAAGATACTAGAGGCTACTTAGTAGTATAGCTAGACGCGATTCTTCCCTCGTTAAGCTAGTTATATTGTATACGATACGCGGCGACTTTAAACTTATTAGCGAGTTTATATTATATATAATAGGCGGCGATCTATTACCCTTAGTACGCTTCCTAGTATTATAACTCTTAGTTTAGTAAGCTATTTATACGCGGCAATCTAGCGCTATAAGCTATTTATATAGTATACGATAACTAGGCCTTCCTAATATAGTAAGCTATTTATTTTATATATAATTATCGGTAATCTAGGGCTATAAGCTATTTATATCGTAATAGCGATAAGCCGTTTATACTATATATAATAGGCGGTAATTCCGATCTTAGTAAGCTAGTACTTAGGAAGTATAGCGTTAAAGGTAGGCGCGTTTCTTACCTTAGTAAGATAATTAATAATATTATATACTATAGCCGTCGGTTAGCTTCTAGGTATCGTAAGGAGGTATTTAGTAAATTCTAGAATTAGAAAAGCTACGATAGAAAGGAAGAAGCTCTAAGGAATATCTCTAAGAGTAAGAGCAATTCTTAGCTTCGTAAGCTATTTATATTATACGCTATAAGCGGCGATCTAGCGCCGTTAGTATAATTCTAGATATTATAGAAAGGTATTAGATTAGTCTTTAGAGTCCGTAAGCTTCTAAAGAAAGAGCTAGTTTTCGAAGAATATCTCTATAAGTAAGAGGAGTTCTTAGATTAGTAGGCTATTTATATTATATCTTCTAAGCGGCGTTAGTATACTTCTAGATAATATAATTCTTCGCTCGGTAAGCTATTTATAAGCGGCTATCCGGCTTTCTTAGTATTCTCTTAGATATTATAAGGAGATATTTAGTAAGTTCTTAATATAGAGGAAGAAAGAGCCTTCGAAGCGTATCTCTATAAGTAGGAGCTCCTAGACGAGATGCTAGTAAAGGAAGTATCCGAGGGGCGTCTGTTTTCGAAGTATAGAAGCGCGAAGGTAAGGCTATAGAAGTCTTCTATACCTGCCGTAAACTCCCGCCTACTATATAGCCGTATACTATTTAGTACTATATCTTTAATACGGTCGTATTTACGCAATACTAGACATATTGTAGTTATTATTAGTATATATAAAAGCGCTAAATGCGCTCTTTAATCTAATATAGAAATTCTATTCTATACCGTAGTAGCAGCTACGTACTACGTAAAGCCCTACTAGAAGCTAAACTACTAGCTTTCTTAGTTAAGGTAAGTACTATGTCTTACTTAGGCGGTTATTAGAAGACATTACGCCGGAGAGGGTTCTTAGACTTCTTAATACTCTCCTATAGGTTATTATTAAGCTGTCTTATAGCCTAATTATTTACCTTCTTTATCTCCTTCTTATATACTTCCTTAGCAAGCCTAGCCTTCTTTTCTTTAGCTTCTAGTTGCCTCTATACCGCTTACAGTTGCTTAATATATATTACGTATTGCTGCTCGAGTATCTTCTATAACTTCTCGTCTTATTTGCGAGCCGCTTCTAACTCCTTTACTTAATCCCTCTCTTGCTATATCTCTCGAGCCCTCTATAGCTTAGAAGGACTATAGAAAGTAGAAGTAGAGCCGTCTTCTACCCTTACTTATTTAAAAAGCTTCTTACCTCGTTTATAGCGCTTCTGCTTATTATATAGTAACTATCTTAGACTGTTAACCTAAGCAATAAGCAATGAATTCTTAGCCGCTAAGGCGCTAACTTTACTACGTAGGTTTAGTACCTTATTAGTATTCTTATACCTTACCTTAATACGGATTAACGTACTAATCTTCCGCTAATCTTATATAGTAAGTAAGCTACTTATATAGGGTCTAGAAGCTATAAAAGGCCTAACGGACTTATTTAAACCGTTATATAGCTTCGGTAGTAGTAGCTTAGATAGAATAACTTATAGGTCGAATAGATTAATACCTATCTTCGAGAACGTAGAGTCTATATTATAAGGTATTAATGCTAGTGTCTAAGCTTGCTAGAATAGTATAAAGAAGTCTCTCTTAGTAATGCCTTCTATAGCTTATAACCTATAAAGATAGGCGTTTAAAGCAATAGAATACTACGAGGTAAGAGGTACGAATATAGATATATCTAGTAGCTATAACCGATAAGTTAAGTAAGATAGATAAACACCTACTAATATCTTCCGTTTGAGAGCCTAGTTAATAAACTTTATAGTTAGATAAGAGCCGTATCTATTAACTATAAGAAGCCTCTAATCGCGACTATTACGAGCGTTCTTCTTAGTATAGCGATTGTAGACTTTAGTTAACTATTTAAAGCCGAGTTTAGCTAAGGTCTACCTAGTTAGAGAGGTTATAAAGAAGGCTATATACTTATCTAGGTCTATATCTTCTACCTAAGTATCTTAAAGATTGCTAGGGTAAGCCTTATAGATTAGTATAGGCGGAAGGGTAGTAAGGTAGGTATAAATAGTTATAATATACGTTATATACTCTCTATTACTAGTCTATAGGTGCCCTATAAGTTGTCTACTCTTAACTACGTTCTTTAAGAAGTATCTTAATACCTTACTTAAGACCCTAATTATAAAGCCCTTCTTATCTATATCTGTAATATTATTAGGCTTAATTTAATACTTCTTAATAGCCGCTTATAACTTCTAGAGGTACTAAGTATAGGAGAAATAGCTATCCGCCTTCTTACGAGCCTTATCTAAGTTACTAATATATCCTAAGTCTAGGTAATCCCTCTAGCGGTATTTAAAGCGAGTAGGCTAGTTCTTTCTAGGTATATTTCTATAGATCTCGTAGGCGAAATAGCGTATTATTACGGCGGTAGAAGGGAGGGCTATCTCTATAAGAAGATTAATATAGTTATATAGTATTTGTTCTTATTAGGAAGTAAGTAATTACTATTCTTCGTACTACTACTTCTTAGTTCTAGCTTTGCTATTCTATAGCTTGCTTAAAACTTCGTACGCTTAATAGAATATTTCCGTATAGTAGTAGAAATACTCGGCTTCTTCTACTCTTTTAAATTAGCTATCGTACGCTTATTTTGCTTATCTATATCTATTGTTATAGTTATTTAAAGATAGAGAGTCGAATTTAGAGAAAGTTAAATCGAGGTATGCGATAGGCGGGGCTATAGGGTAGGTAGGGAAGACTTCTAAGGGGAGTCGTACTTTATAGGCGTACCTTAGGATTAGAGGTAAAAGCCGAGCCTTACGTATCTATAACCCGTATAAGAGCAAGGAAGGTATAGGCTTAATCGTAGTAACTAAGGAATATTCTAAAGATGCAATCCTATTTTATAAGTATTGATTTTTGCATATATCGGCTGCGTAATATAATAGTGTAGCAAGCTAGGACTTGCGGTATTGTAAAGCGAAAGTACCATCGCCGCGACTTTATTGGCGCCGAGCAGCAAAGGTTCGCCGACCACGGCAGATGTCGCACTGAAGCTTTTAAGCAGGTCGACGAGTGAGAGATACGTGAATCAAAAGCACCGGCCGCGAGTCTCCAGCGTCCGCACTCACGTTGACTATAGAAAACGCCGATACTCATCCTGTCTTCAAGCCCAAGGACTCTATCGTCGCGCGACTTATTCCCTCAGTCCGTCTCCGGCGGGTGGCATGAATTATCTTGACGAGAAGAAAACACAACAGGGCTTTCCATCCTGGTTTCGTATAGGGCTTTTGTGCATGCTATCTTGTGGGAAGATTTTTATCGGTACAAGTTGTGACGTTCCTTTTCCTTTTTTCCTCCCGACTCCATGCCTATGCGCTCCAGAAAATGCTCAATGAACCAGCCCGACGAGTTGGCATCGACGTTACTGACGTCCACCATTTGCTCGCCGTGGATTGGGATGTGCCGCCAGTGTTACTGCCTCACTCGTGGAATTCTTCGGTGTCGGTGCGTGACAGATGCCCAGATCTGCGTCTCGAGTGTATCACTCAACGTCGTTGGTGAGTTCAGTGACGATGTTCTTGGTACCAGGCGTCTGCATTGGCTCAGTCGGAGTTGGATCAGGAGCGAACATGCCTTGATCAATGCTGGTGGTACTCATACCCAGGGTAGATTTGTCGTTAACGATGTTGATGTTGCCATTGACTTGTGGACTGCCATAGGATGTGGATGCGAGGAGATCAGTGCCGAGCCATGGCTGCACAGGCTGCGGAGGGAGGCATGCACTCGGATTGTGATTGGCAATGTCGTAATGGGCGATGTTGTAATGGGCGACGTTCTGATGGGCGATGTCGTGATTGGCGACGTCGTGGTTGGCAATTTCGTGATTGGTGATGTTGTGATTGGCGATGTTGTGATTGGCGATGTTCTGATTCGCGACGTCGTGGATGGCGATGTTCTGATTCGCGACGTCGTGGATGGCGATATCGTGATTGGCGATGTTGTGATGGGCGATGTTGTGATTGGCGATGTTGTGATTGGCGATGTTGTGATTGGCGACGTTGAGGTTGCCGTTCACTCGTGGACCGCCAGAGGGCGTGGATGCGAGGAGATCAGTGTCAAGCCATGGGTAGACAGGCTGCGCAGTGAGGTGTGATACGGAGCCTGAGCCTGAGATGTTTGTAGGCGCGACGAAGGACGGGGCTCGGAGCTCTGGCATGAAGGACGGGAAACGTTGGGCGTTCCAGGTTGATGATGAGCTTGAGCCACTGGTCGACGTCGGATGCCATGCTGGAGGGAAAGCCTGCAGAGCGGTGTTGGAAGATGAGGTCGAGATTCTCGTAGGCATTGACGACAATGGATCAGGTTGCACAGGAACTTCCATGCCACCGTAGCTTGCGGATGCGTCGCCATAACTGCCGTAGTGTCTGAAGCCGTGAGCTTGATTGGCAAGCATTCCGTAATTGCCTCCTCCCATTGCCTGCCACTCCGGGACGACTGGTGTCAATGGCACTGGTCGGAAAGGCTGCACGTTCGCTCCGGCCATCGACTGCAAGCTGGCCATCGCAAGTGATGGAGGCGCCGAGGGTGCTGTGTCTGGCTGCTGGTTGGTCGCAGCGGAACGACCATTTGGCATGTTGGAATTCTCGAACGCCAGAAGGTCGGGGATCACGATTGATTCAATGTGGTGATCAAATTCCTTCTGCTTTTGTTCGAATCTCTTCTTGTGAATGCCGCATGCCACAATCCTGCCAAGGTCACGAATCTGTTTCTTGACTTCGTTCTCATTTCCACTACAGACAGCACGATGAATGCTGTCGCAGTGGCGCACCACGACCTTCCAGCCCGGACGATCTGGGAACAGTTAGCCAAGGTCTAGAGTGTGCACGAACAATCAATGCTCGGAAGAGTTACCAGTGTTGTGTGTGCTCTGCAGCCTGCTACAGGTTGGCTCGCTCGCCTTGCGATAGACTTTGACAGGCAGGCTGAAACAGTTGCGGTTGTCATTCAACCCAAAGATGCGGCAGTAGTGCTCAGCTCGTGTCTTGTTATCCATCTTTCGGATCTCTTGGACTTGGTAGGGTTGAGTTGCGTGCTTTGAGACCAGGTCTTATATGGCGTGAGACACGGGCAATAAGCAGAGGAGAAGCAAGACAAAAGCAATAGTCTGAAGAGGAGAAGCGAGTTTCGGCCTCCGCGCAGGGGAAAGCGACTGCATGGACGGCGATGCTGGATCGGATGTCGCGCACGCAGTTCTGAGACAAATTCGCTACGTTGGCAGCGCATGGTATGCTTTGAAAGCAGCTTCGTGTCGGCAGCGAGCATAGTCAAGCTGATCGCGGTGCAGTGGAGGAGCAGCGGAGACGACATTGGTGGCGGATGGCAGACGTGGATGAGCTCAGTACGAGTGGTGGTAATCTTGAATGTTTCACGGGTGATCGCAGTGAAGTTGTCAGCGCCAAGTTCCATGTACGGTAGCTGCAGAGAGTGGATGTGGATCTGAAGAAGCTGCGTGATAGTGCAGCGACATGTTCGCCGCACGGCAGTTTGCGTAACGAGTTCGCATGACTGGCTACATGGCTGGCAGGTCGCGTAGCGGTTTGCATGACAGTTCGCAGCGCAAGTCGTTCGCATAGCTGTACGAATGGCGGCGCGCATGGGAGTTCGCATGGCCAGCTGTTCGCATCCCGATCGTCTGGCCGCCAAAGTCCGTCATTCGCGGTTGCGTGCAGGCGGACATCCCCCACCTCGCCGTCGCATGGTTTCGGGGCCATCGCAGCGAACATTTTCTTCGTGCGCTTTGTGTTGTCGCTTGCAGTGATGTGTGCTTCGCAACAGCCGGAATCTTGGTGAATGGGGTGAATGGGCTAGCACGTGCCGTCGAAGGCTGGGAGGTTGGCTTGCGCGGTCAAATGCGGTGGAGCTGGCGTGTTGGCTGACTGTCTGCCGGCGTACCTGATGAATGACTGCTTCATCGCTGCAGTGCCTGCAGCGGTTAGCTGCCGGGTCGGTCGACCGACTGATGCACTTTCCTGCAGGTAAGTGATGGTGGTGGTGCAAACAGAGGTTGATGCAGGCACGACGCGTAGGGCCAGCATCAGCGTCGCGATCGCGGGGTCGGAGCTCCGACGCCGACTGCGCTATGCAATATGTCGCGCCATGCGCTCGGAGGACCATGGAATTTACTGTGGTGTGGCTGCACTATAATTAGCATAGAATTAGCTTCTTGGCGGTTTCCCACTTCTCTTCCAAAATGATACTATACCTCGTCGTCGCTATTTCTATAGTATATACCCCTCGAAGGTGTTGTTAATAGCGCGGTTACTAGACTATTAGCTTAATAAGATTAAACGCCTATTCGACGAGGGCGAGTTGTCTAATATCGCTATCTCTAACCTACTAAATGTCGCTAGGCGCAGTATCGACAAGATCTATAACAATTATCGCCTATTTAGTATATTCTATATTAAAGACCTTGCGAGGTTAGGTCGTCTATAGTCGCTATTACTAATCTTTAAGGATATAGGTAGTATCGTGTCGCCTAGCGCGTACGGTCGCAGTTTGACTAATCTACCTATTTCTATAGCGCATCTTCGAATTCCTTAACGACCGACTATATACCTACTAAGACGAGGTAGTATAGTATCTATACGACGAATACGACGTTGTTATTAGCTAGTCGACGGTATCGCGAGTACTAAAGAGGCGTAGCTAGACGAGGAAGAAAGCGATACGGTTTACGGCGGAATAGAACTAGGACCTTCGAAACGACTTTAAGATAAGGCAAATAGCTATGCCGGCGTATAAGGTAGTATATGTCGATAAGAGCGCCTCTAACGAGCGCACTAGATAGCGGAAATATAGATACGGTCTAGTTAACCGCCCTGTCTTTAAAGAAGGGTCGGCGGTAAGGTTAAAGCGATAGAGTGTCCTGCCGGCTATATTAGTTAATAGTTATCTTAATAGCACTATTATCTACTAAGGTTCTATTACCGCGGAGATCTTCGAGGCATAGTTATAGCATATAGTACTGCCTTAAATAGAGCCTAGTATATTTATTGTTATAGATAACGCGTTAATCTACCGCACTTAGCGTATAAAGGATATCGTAGCGGCGGTAGGTGTCTACCTTCGACACCTGCCTCCGTATTCGCTAGACTTCAACCCTATTAAGTTGTTATTTAACGTACTTAAGGCATAGGTTAAGAAGCATATTAACGAGGCTAATTGCTTCGTAGACTTCGGCAAATTTATACGGTATACTATTAACTAACTAGATACTTAAACAATAGTAAGATCGTAGTTCTAGCGAGTAGGTTATCGCTAATATCGACCTTGTAGTTACTCCCTTATAGTCTCACTTATACCAACTATTATCTCTAGCTTAGTAATACGGCTTCTTAACTCGTCTATCTCCTTCCTTATTTCATCTATAATAGTACGCGTAGTATTAGCAGCTTGCTCTTTCATTATTGCTTCTATATGCTATAGATCTAGCAATGTTAGCTATAGTAACGAGCCTCTTGAATTAACAGCTAACGGTAATACAGTAGTCGGTAATATAGTAGTAGCGTCTCGTATAAGGTCCTCTTCTTCTTAACTGTCGGCAACCTATAAAGAATTAGTTAAACCTATAGCGATACCTAATCGATATACTTCTAATACGCTACCGATAGCTATTGCGATTAAAGAGCCTAGAATCCGGTAGATTCTAAGCCGTTTCTATCGCTAGTGTTACCTCGAGATTATTTAAACTAGTGCCGCTAGTAGGTCGCTATTCGTGTCGCAATCGAGTAGCGGTCCGGAGAGAACCCGCTTAGAAAGCCGGAATCTATAACGACTAATAGGGCATCACTATACCACTACAACAACACGTCTATATGCCCTCCTCGGTAGGAAATAATACTGTTGGCTATGCTAAATAACCTCCCGTTGTCCGTTTCAAAAAATATGCAGGTATAGTAAAGATATAGTGTTAGTAATATATTAGGGAATTTGCGACCTTCTACCGCTTTCTCTACGCCGAGACTACCGAAATTTCGGCTTCTATAGTACTCGGCTTTGCTCGGCGGTTAAGCTTAGCGGGTCTACGCTTAAGAAGCTGATTTTAACCACTCTAACTAGGCACTAGCGCAACACTATAACGCATTGTTTTTTATTACTATAAGTACAGAGAGCCGAGACTATATCTATCTGATGCTCCTCTAATTTATACTATACAGAAATACGTAGTATTAGTAGAATAAGAAGCGACATCAGTTAAACTAAATATTAGCTGTTAAGCCGCCGACCTATACCCGGAAATCCTCGCTTCTAGCTCGCTTCTATACTAAAACAGCGCTTCTACAGCTAACTAACGAATAGGCTATCGTCCGACTTATTAATACGACTAAGTCGCTACTTACGGACTTCCTTGTTAATATATCGCCCTACTGCGGCGATAAATCGAGCGTATTAGCCTTCCTTAAGTCTATAGCGGACCCAATCGCTTAATTTGACCCTTCTAAGCTGTTTAAGTGAGAAGTCGCCTTCCTCGTAGACACGCTTAATATTAGCTATATCGGCGTGTCGCTTACTCTAGCTACTAGTTAACTCTTTACGCAACTAGCTAAAGAAGCCTATCAATTCTATATCGGCGGTATAAGATTAATAGGAAGCGATTAAGCCGCTAACTGGACTTGATTGCAGTCCAACTAGTAGACTAGAAGCCGGTAGACTAGAAATGGCGCCTCTACGACCCCTGCTATTAGACTAGCTATAATAGTTATAGATTACTACTAGAGTTGGCGTTATTAGTGCGATAGCACGTCTACTACTACTACTACTACCTTGCTGTCTGAATGGATTAGACAACTGCTTGTCTCGTTGCTTCTATATCTTTAATGCTAGTGCCGCTCTAGGGTCGTCGATTGTTAGCCTTCTAGCCGGATTAGCCTCTCGAGTCCCCTTAACCTATCTAGCGGCTATTTCCGGATAGATCTTGCAGTGGTCTTCTGCCCTGTCCGGACTACTAAACTAGCACAATCTACCCTTGTTTAGATAGTATCTATTCTTGCAGGGCTAGCGCTAAGCAAGAGCGTGTCGCAGGTCCGTTAGAGAGCTAGTTAGGTCGCTATTATTGTCGTTAGGAGTCGCTTCATTATCTTCCGAGCGCCCTTTAGCTAGTAGGGCAGCTAACTGTTGCTAAGTCGCTATATTCCGTAGCCTCTAAGAAGCCTATTAAGTCCGCCGTAGTTGTTAAGTTGCAGGCTCTTTAGTAACAGCGGTTGGCTTAGCTATAATAGCGAGTTTAAACTCAAGTCGTAGGCCCTTCTTGCCTTGACTATTCTAGACAGCTAGCATAGTATATACGCGCTCAAAATTGAGGTCTGTTATACTAGAGCTACGGTAGAAGTGTTTAGCCTTCACCTTGTCCGTAGAGGCTATAATAGTAGCGCTCTTAAGACTAAACATAAGTCGGTTATTAGCCTTGTTGCGCTAGTCGTCAAACTAGTAGTCTACGGCCTTACAAGGCGACTCGTAGCTTAGCTTACTCGGATAGCACTTACTTAGCAAGGCTTCCTTCTACTTGTCCGTATACAGGTTCTACTATATAGTGTATTCGAATACCTCTCGCTCGTTCTCGTCGTCTTTATCTTCTTCTAAGCTGTAGTCTTCATCGATATCTACTTCTATAGAGTCTTAGCGCTAAGAAGTCGTTGAATCTAGTAACTCGTCGTTAGTATTTGGCTCTTCCGGACTATCACTTAATAGTAGTAGCTCTTTACGTCGTTGTTTCTTAGTAGCGGCGGCTTCGAGGGCTTCCTTCTTCTTCGTAGTAAGCTTATGTAGTCGCTTCGAGGCTCTTAGTATACTAGCGTAGCAATAGAATAGACGAGAGAGTGCTAAAATGCCTAGCTCTTAACCTTGAGGCTTACTAAGAGGTCGTGAATAGATAGAAGTAAGAAAGGCTTTCGTACCGGATCGCATTCTATACCTAATTTGTATAGTGCGGTAGATACTCGGCAAAGACACTAATACGCGCTAATTTCCATCCCTCCGATAGTATAGCGCGACTTATTGCATAGTATAATATACTAGGTTTTGCGAGTTACCTAAGAATGCTAAGTATAGCGGCTCCGTAGTACGGAACCTTATAGTTTACTAGGGAATATACTCCTCTTCTGTTCTCGTAGACCTTGTATCGTATCCTTATACCGCCTATAGCGATAATTATTAACTTACCGCCCGAGTTAGTATATATAGTCGCAATCTATACTACTAGCGACCTCGTACGATAGTATTTCGAGATACCTAATCGCGGCGGAGCGACTTCGCGGTCTTCGAGAACGCGTAAACTAGTCGATAAGTATTACGGATCTAATTAGTTAGAGTCCTTATATAATCTTAGAGCAACGCTAAGACTAGTAGGCTAAGCTGTCGCTCTATCTTACTAGGAGCGATAGGAGCGGTCGAGAGCGACAGCGTCGCTTACGTCGCTTACGACTATAGACAAGATATCTCCTTTGTATTTAGGAACGCCGGAATGCCCTTATAGCTTAAGGCGTTTAACTTATATTACCTACTTACTAATTGGAATTACCTTTATACTAATTATTCTATCTCTACCTCCCGCTTATATTAGCCTCTCTAAAGAAGCCTCGGCTTGTACGTAATAAGAAGTCACTTAACGATCTATCGCGAGTAACCGTAATACTTTAAACGCCCTTAGGATAAGTGCCTTATTATAAGTCGGAAGGGGAACTCCCGCCCCTAGCGAGATAGGCAGTACTCGACGTACTACCTCTAGTACTAGCAATACACTAGGAACCTATGCCGGAAACGATTCTCTTAAGATCGGAAAGCTAGACTTTTATTACGGCGACCGAGACAAGTTCGATACCTAGGTTAGCTAGATAGATATATATTTTATATTTAACTAGGTTTAAGATAACTTAAAGCTAGTCTTCGTAACGACGTTTATACGAGGTAGGGCTTAGCATTAGGTTAAACTATTTCTTAGGACCTATCTAGATAGCAACGGGACCAACAATTCGGATAGAATCTTCGTAAGCTACGAAAATCTTAAGCGTACGATAAAGAAGGTCTTTAGATCTTCTAACGAAGTTGCTACCGTAGTTAGGGTTATCTAACACTTAACTTAGAAGGGGTTATATACCGATTACGCCGCCAAATTT